TCACCCCTCTGGTGTCCCCACAGTGTCCCTGCCCTGATGTCCTCGCCCCAATGTCCCCCACAGTGTCCCCATCGTGTCCCCACACTGCCACCTCTACCCTCATGTCCTCACCCTGCTGTGCCCAGTGATGTCCCCATAGTGCCATCCCCCTTTTGCCCCCACTGTGGCCACCGCTGTCCCCGCTGTCCCCACAGGGTCCCCACCGTGTCCCCACTGCTGTCCCCTCTGTCCCCACTGCTGTCCCCTCCCTGCTGTCCCCACTGTCCCCACAGTGTCACCATCGTGTCCTCACCGTGTCCCCTCTGTCCCCATTGTTCCCAGTGTCTCCACCGTGTCTCCGCCGTGTCCCCATCGTATCCCCATTGTCCCCTCTGTCCCCGTTGTCCCCTCTGTCCCCGCGGTGTCCCCTCTGTCCCCTCACTGCCAGCCAGGATCCAACACTTTAATTCCCAGCGCCGGAGCCGCGCCGGGCGCTGGGCGAACTGGGACGCGCTGGGAGCCACTGGGAGCCCCCGGGCTGTCCCCCGGTGCCACCGCGGTGTCGCTGCTGTCGCTGTCGCCTGTCAGCGGCGGTGGCCCTGCAGCTGCTGCAGCCGCCGGCTCAGGTCGTCGATGCGGAGATTTTTGAGGAGCAGGAGCTGCTCCAGCCGCCCCACCTTGGCCTGCAGGATCTGCCATTCCCGAGGGATTTGGGGGCTCAAATCCCAAATCTCCAAATTCCCCGAATCCCAAATCCCCCCAAATCCTCAAACCCTCAAACCCATTCCCGCCGCAGGGAATGTGAGGAAAGGGAATTTTGGTTTTTTTTTTTTTTCCTTTCAGATTGGGGGAAACTGAGGCGGGTGAGGATTTGGGGTTCCGATCTCAGCCCCTTTTCCCAAAAAAAAAAAAAAAAAAAAGGGAATTCCGGATATCCCGCTTTTCCCATCCCACAGAATCCCGGCGTTTGCCAGAATTTATAACTGCGGTGGGAAAATCCCGGATTTCAGGGGAAAATTGGAAAGACGGGGAAAAGCTGGGAAAGGGGGGCAGGGAAAAATTCCTGGAAGGGGGAATTGGGAATAACCGGGAAAAGCCGGATGGGGGGACAGGGAAAAGCCGGGAAAAGTCGGGAAGGGGAGAAAGGGAAAAAGCCGGGAAGGAGGACAGGGATAATTTTAGGGAAGGAGAAGCGGAGAAAAGCCGGGATAGGGGGACAGGGAAAATCCAGGAAAAGTCGGGAAAGGGGGAAAGGGAAACACCGGGAAAAGCAGGGTTGGGGGATCAGGGAAAAGCCGGTTTGTCCTGTGAGGACAGGGATAATTTTAGGGAAGGAGGAACCGAGAAAAGTCGGGATAGGGGGACAGGGAAAATCCAGGAAAAGCCGGGAAAGGGGGAAAGGGAAAAGCCGGGAAAAGTCGAGAAAGGGAGAAAGGGAGAAAAGGAAAGGCGGGAATGAGGGACAGGGAAAATCCGGGAAAAGCCAGGAAAGGGCGAAAGGGAAACACCGGGAAAAGCCGGGATATGGAGAACCGGGAAAAGCAGGGAAGGAGGAACCGAGAAAAGTCGGGATAGGAGGACGGGGAAAAGCCGGGAAAAGTCGAGAAGGGGAGAACGGGAAAGCCGAGAAAGGAGGGACAGGGAAAAGCCGGGAAAAGCAGGGAAAGGGGGAAAGGGAAAAACCGGGAAAAGCAGGGTAGGGGGATCAGGGAAAAGCCGGAATTGAGGGACAGGGAAACGCCGGGAAAGGGGAAAAGGGAAAATCCGGGAAAAGTCGGGTAGGGGGAACAGAAAAAAGCCGGGAAAGAGGACAGGGATAATTTTAGGGAAGGAGGAACGGAGAAAAGCCGGGATAGGGGGACAGGGAAAAGCCGGGAAAAGCCGGGAAAAGCCGGGAAAAGCCGGGAAAAGCCGGGAAAAGGGGAAAGAGAAAAACCAGGAAAAGCCGGGAAAAGACGGGAAAAGGGAAAAGCCGGGAAAAGCAGGGGAGGGGGGAAGAGAAAAGTCGGGAAAGGGGGAAAGGGAAACACCGGGAAAAGCAGGGTTGGGGGATCAGGGAAAAGCCGGTTTGTCCTGTGAGGACAGGGATAATTTTAGGGAAGGAGGAACCGAGAAAAGTCGGGATAGGGGGACGGGGAAAAGCCGGGAAAAGTCGGGAAGCGGAGAAAGGGAAAGCCGGGAAAGGAGGGATAGGGAAAAGCCAGGAAAAGCCGGGAAAAGCCGGGAAAGAAAAAAACCGGGAAAAGCAGGGTAGGGGGTTCAGGGAAAAGCCGGGAAGGAGGACAGGGATAATTTTAGGGAAGGAGTAACCGAGGAAAGCCGGGAGAAGCCGGGAAAAGCCGGGCAGAAGGGCGGGGGGACAGGACAGTGTCGCGTGTGTCCCCCTGGGATGTCCCCGCGCATCCAGGATCGCTCCCGGCACCGGGATTTGGGATGGGCTCACCTGGATCGTGTCCCGCGCCAGCTGCAGCGCCTGCTCGCGCTCGGCCAGCTGCTGTCGCATGTCCCCAGGGCCAGCCCCGGCCGGGAATGTCACCGCCCTGGCACGGGGACAGCGCCCTGGGGACAGGCACTGACCCCTCCTGCGGACCCCCCCTAAATCCCGGCCCCCGATCCCATGGGAATGTCCCGATCTCCACGGGGACACCCAGGGACACCGCAGTGACCCCCCCCAAAGCTCAGAGTGACCCCCCCAGGCACCTCCCAGGGACCCCCAAACCCTATAGGGACCCCCTGACCCACACAGGGACCCCCAAACCCCCAGACTTTCCTCAGTGACCCCCAAACCCCACACAGGGACCCCCAAACCCCACACAGGGACCCTCAGACTTTCCTCAG